CAAATGTTCATTTTGAATTTTAATTAAATAAAAATCTTGCCGAAGAATTTTCAGGAGTTTGATAATTTTTCTTGGTATTTGTTCTCATGATTAACATGGGAAAATTATTATTCGAATTTTTAAGAAGATTCAAGTTAGATGAAAAATTCGTACAAGATAAAAATAATTAGGAAAAATGGTCGGTTTTGAAGGGATTATCTCTAGAAAAATTTTAGAGGGGGTTGAGGAACCTTTGGAGCGAGGCTCGAGGGCTTGATTTTTGAGGAGAGGATGTTCTAGTGACTCAAAAGAGGTTTTATATCTAGAAAAGTCCTCTAAGAAAATGGATTCTTATTAATAGGTTTCCCCAAGATAATTCGGTTAAGGAGGGATTTCTTCGAGGAAGGAATTGAGGAGACATCTTTTCGAGGTGAGTGTAAAGGGAGTAAAATCTCTGTCGTAGGTATTTTAGTTTATACTTTTCGTTCAAGTTATTAATTAGTTGATTTTTAAGTAATGTGCGATATGTGTATGCGGCATCCCACCGCCTACTTAAGGGTGGAGGCACTCGTTGTGCTATGTATGGATTATGATTGTAATAGTTGGTTGATGGTAAGATGAACCCCCGGGCGGTTGGGTCACTACTGGATGGCGAGACGTAACACAGTAGTTACCCGGGCATGGACTGGACGGCGAGACGTAACGCAGTGCCATTGCCGAGTTTGGGTATGCAACCGGACGGCGAGAGGTAACGCGGTGGTCCCTAGTGTTGGTATCTATGGATTAAGAATATAAGTAAGGAAATTCTAAAGATAATATACGAGTAGAGATCTCTTATGGACTGCTTGATAACAAGGTATAAAGGATGAAAGCGAGAACAGCTTTTGTCTAAGTCAAGAACCCGAATAATGTGTTTAGTAAGGATGATTATTCAATAGCAGAAAACGAGAATGGCTTTCGTGCTAGGAAGGAAACTCTAATAACGTGTTAGTAGAAAGTTTGCTTAGGGCAAAGACCTTAGGAAGTAACGACGAGACTGACCCCTTCTCACTCACCAGGTCGAGGAAGGGTTAGCAGAGGCAGATTTCGAGAAGAGGCAAGGCGAGGTGAGTAGCTGCACTAGCATTGATGAGAAGTCAAGGAACTCGTGAAGAGTCAGAGCTAGAATAGTTTAATTTCTTTGTTACATGGTTAGGAGTGTAAACTGGAGATTTTGAGTTCATTCATTTTGAGTATTGGGGTTGTTATTTGCCCAAGTGTTCAGCCTTTTTGTCTGAAATTCTTAAACATTGTCGGGTTATTTATTTTAAAGAGTTGTTTGGGTTTCTGCGGAGTAACCGGTTTTTGGTTTGAGTTATGGTTTGACTTTCAAAAAGGATTGGTTCGTTTGAGTTAAAATACTAAAATTTTGGAACGTTAACCTTTATGTATCTTCCAAGTCATTATCATGTTGTCAAGTCAATATTACTAACAAAATTGCTAACTCGAAGTTCAAATTTGGCTAATCATTAGTAAAATATTTGGCTAATAAAAATGAATCGGAAATTTTTTTGGCTAATAAATAATCATTACCCAAATATCTATCTATATCAATCTATCTATCTATCTATCTATCTATACTATATATTATGGAAATTTAAAATCAATCTCTTTCCACATAAGCACTTGGATGATCCACAATTTGCCAAGTAGGACAACTTTTTTACAAATAAAAAAATTAGTTATTAATGTATTTATGGAGCTACCTCTCTCTTCTTTAATATTTTCAATTCTTTTATCCAATTATTCTTTTTTATTTATCAATTTATTTTTTGTTCTTTAATAATAAGTTACATGTTGATAAACTTAACCAAAACACACATAAATAATAATTTTTTTGTCAAGTAAACAAAATATAAATAAGAAAATAGAGAGTGACATATATCATATTTGTTTAAATAAAAAATATTTGATTAAACCTATTGAAGTAAATTTTCAAAATTGAAAGATAATTTACATTTTGATGAAAAAATTAAACAAACATACACATAAACAATAATATTTTTATCGATTAAACAAAATATATATGAAAAGAGAGAAAATAAACATTTGACATTCAATTACCTTTGAAAAATAAACTATATTACTTTATATTTTGTTGCAATGAAATAACTCTTATTCGTAAAGTATATGTCTAGAAAATAAAACAAGGATTATTTAGAAAAATGTCAGAAAATAATCTTGATCAAGTAGTTACATTTATTTATATAAAAATGACTTCTTATTCATTCAAATTATGTTTCACCTTAAACTCCTCAAATGAAGAGGAATCACATGTGCAATAATTTTATAATGTGTCCTAAGTTCAAATTAATAATATTTGCTCTATATCATGTTAATTGAACAAGCTCTATTAAGTTCCTAAGCCATATGCTAAAAATATTTCTTTCATATTGGAGTTATCTTCGACTATTATAAATCAATATTTCTTTCATATTGACAAACTTTGACTTCATACCCTAGGATGAGACACAAGATTCCTTGAAAGATAACATATGTGAAGGTTAGAGAAATCTTTGTTGAGAATCTACGATAAACATCACGTTTCATCAACTATTAACCTAGACATTTACCAAATAAAGGCTGGCAATTTTTAGTAAGATAGTCAATTGGACCTAAAATCTCAATCCCTTTCGGGGCTAAATACCTCTGATCACAACCATAGGTGCCAAAGAAGAACGAAAAGAAGCCCAAAAATAGCACAAAAGAACATAACCTCCAATGGTTGTCTGACGCTATGGGGGTAAAGGCGATATCTCTATCACGAGAGTGGGGGATAGGCAATTAGCACTCTTGATATGAGTATTATGCGAGATAAGATAGATATGACGAAATATCTGGGTAATTTTGAGTCTACTATATGTGGTACCTTCTACGGTACCCCGGGTGAAATCCGGGGTACAGCATACCTTGAGTATGAAAACGCTATCTAGACCTCGAATTAACAGGATTTTTGAGCATGATACTATACCCTAAACCTTAATGAGTGAGCACTAGGTCCTAATTATCTAAATCATAGACTATAAATCCTAAGATGGTGCATTGATTTTTTTGCCTATATTTGGACGAATCATAACCATCGATTATTGTTTATAATTAAATTGATCTTTGGGTATAAGATTTAGAGAATTTAGACCTAGATTTTTATCTTTAAGGGTTAGAGTAGGGGTGGGCATCCGGTTCGGTAAACCCGGACCGAAACCGAATAATATGAATTCGGTTCGGAAATCAGAAGGCAACCTCTTACATTTCGGAAACCAAGATAGCTCAACCGAACCCGAAATTCCGATTATCCGACCGAAAAACCGAACATACTGATCAACCTAGCATTCAAGCCCACTCCCAGCCCAATCTCATCTCAGCCCACATACTCAAAACCCAAGGCCCAAGCCTACTCCCCCATAACCCTAACAGAGCCGCCAACCCTCAACCTCCTCCTTATTTCCAAACCAACACAGATCCTTGAGCTCCTTCGATGGCGGCGAACACAGATCTCGGGAGGGATTCTTGGCGGCAAAGGGAGCTTTCCTCCTGTTCAATCTCGCTGCCGACAACAACATGCATGCAATTCATGCTACCAACCAGCCATCATGTCTCATTTTATCATCTCTCACTGTTGCCGTCGCCGCTAGATGGAGAAAAGGATCTGAAGCAGGACGCCATTACTTCTTCCAGATCCGAACTCTGAAGGAGAAAGAACGGGATAAGGAGAAGAAGTGTATATACGGCGGATGATCCTGCAGCATAGAGGGCGGCACCGACGGCGGCGTGCTTTTCCCTATCGGCTTGTCCTCTCTTCGTCTTCACTCGTCATTCTTCCCCGCCGCCATGCCTACAACCGCTTCCTTTCCTTCCCTGAGCACGCTCTTCTATTGATTTTTACTTTTTTAGTGTTGATTTTATCGTTCAGGGTAAGTGGAAGAAAGGAGAGAGATACGGAGAGGGGAAAATGAACGGAAGAGAGAGAGATGGAGAGGGGGGAATGGGTTGACAGATCCATAATTAAGGGGAATGGAAAAGGTTTTGGGTTTGGGGCAGAAATTGGACCGAACCGACATATATTTCGGTTCGACCTGACCAAACCGAAATATATTTCGGTTTGGGATCGGTTTGGATTTTGGATGATATAAGGGACCTGGTATACACAAATTCGGTTCGGTTTTAACCGAACCGAACCGATGCCCACCCCTAGGTTAGAGTATAGTATTATGTACGAAAGATCAGTCAATTCAAGTTCTGAATAGAGTTTTCTTACTCAAGGTATGCGGTACCCCGGATTTCGCCCTAGGTACCGTAGAACTCCCCATATATATAACATCAAGTATACTATACTTTTGATTTTACTTAAGGTACGATAGAAGATAGGTATGACGAATTATGTGCATAAATTAGAGGTTAGTGAATTATGGACTGGAGTTCACCAGGTTATGGTATAATATCATGCCCCAAAAAACTCCGGTTAATTCGGGGTGTAAATAGAAAATCTCAACAGTCGTATGGTAGTGTGAACGCAAAAGTATAGTGTACTCCTGCCGCACGCTAGTTTGAACTATATAGATATGTGTGTGTGTGGTTCGGGTTGGCGCACACCAAATATTAGTGTTTTGGTTGACAAATTTTTACATAAATTCTAAATGGGACGTGACAGCGCCATAATTTATGATTAGAAAACCAAAGTATCACAAGTGAGTGTTCTAAATATTGGAAATTTTCAATATAAACATACTAAAAACTTTGTTATGAATAAGAACACAAAATAATTAAAAGATCCAAAATGATTTAATCATATAAATAAGTTAATTAATATAAATTATAAAATAAATCTCTCCGGTCAACGGGTCGAGTAAGAAACTAGTTTACCATAGAAAAGTGAAATCTTTGTTTAAAGAAATGCGTTGAAAAATGGTAAATAGGTAGATCTCTCACCAAATTTCCTCGATTTTAAAACCTAAACAAAAGTGAACTCTTTGTTTTAGAACAAGTTAACCCTCTCTGTTCCTTCGCCTATCTCTAGTGGCCATTTTCTCCCCATACCTCCCAAGCACATCAGCCAAATCAACCAATCCAACCTCCCTCAACTTCTTCGCCGTCTCCAAGAACAGAACAACTCCTTCCTTGTTAGAGAAGTAGTGGAGAAACTTGTTGTAATCAAACCTCGGAACTTCCATCCCGCCATTCAGTATCCTCTGAACATACTTGGTAGCTTCTAGCGACTTCCCAGCTTTCACCAACCCGCCAACGAAAATGGTGTCGAAGTTCACAGTGGAGTCGGGACCCTTCCGCCCTCTCTTCCCCAAGTGGCCTTGCAGCAGCATCACGTACGTATGCATTATGGGCTCTCAGCCTCTGTTTATCATCTCCCTGAAGACTTCTGTTGCTTCTCTGGGTCTTTTCGAGCTCAGCAGCCCTTTGATCAGTCCGTGGTAGATGGCTATGTCCGGTTTCTCGATCTGTTGCAGCACTCTCTAGGCCTCGTTCACTCGGCCTCTTGATGACAGCCCGAAGAGAAGGGATCCCAACGTTGCGCAATCGGGTTGAATTCCTCTCTGCCGCATTTCGTCGAACAGTTGTTGTGCTTGGCTGAGCTTGCCCTTCTTGCAGAACCATGAAATGACGAGGTTGTAAGTCTAGAGTCCTAGTTCTTCCATCCTGTTAACTCGTAGGGTTTGGAACACTTTCACGGCTTCAGTGTCCTCGTTCTTTTTGAAGAACGTCTCGATCATTTTCTCGAACACTTGGATCTCCGGATCAAACCCATCCTCCACCATTAAATTCCAGACCTTTGACGCTTCAATCATGTCGTCGATGTCGCAGAATCCTTTAATCAGGCACCCGTAAGTGAACCCATCTGGGGGAATGGTGTCCTTAAGCTTCAAAGTCACGTACTTGGCCTCCTCCATGAGCCCATCTCGACACAGAGCCTCCACGACCTTGTTCAACCTCCGCAAGCTGTATTCAACCCCTGAATCATTCATCAGGTGGAAAAACTGAACGCACTTCTTCAGCTCCCTCGCGGAGGCCAGAGTTCTGAGAACAATCACGAACGTTCTGTCGCTCACCAACCCCAATTGGCCTGCCTGCTGAGTCGTTTCCCAGAGCAGATCCATGTTTCTCGCCTTGCCGTAGACATCGAGCATCTTATTGAAGGAGACGGAGGTGTGGGCGAAATTGTTATGTAGGGAAGGTGTTTGCTGAATGTACTGAAAGAAGCGGTGGACTGGACGCCAGGAGAAAGGGAATCTGTTGCACACTTGGAGGAAGAACTCGTGGGTAAGCTGGAAGACGCAGGTAGAGAGCTTGGATTGGAGCTTGGAGTCTGGAAAGGTTTGTTGTTGAAAGAGGATCGTGCAGACTCGAATTAGGTGATCTGAGTTAACTGGCGTTGGTTGCAGCGACGGCGGCGGAGGTTGGTGTTGTTGGACTATTGATTCGTTGGTGAGGAGACGATGGAGGGAGGAGAAGACACGGCGGTGGTGTTGGTTGAAGAGAGGTCTGAGGATCATTCTGCTTATGGTGGCGGGAGAGTGAGAAAAGTGTCGAAAGTTTAGTCCTTTATTGGCTTAGCTTAAGACCGGGTAAAAGAAATAGAAAACATGATTGGGAAATTGTACCGAGGGGGTATTGGAAAAGTTTAAAAGTATAAAACCGTTTGTATTGAAAGTTTGAAACTATAGCTTAATTAGGATTCAGTCGTTTCCTATCGCTTAATTTGCTTATCAATTTATGTCCGATAGGAGATGTTTTCGCAAATACAGAAAAATCAGGGTTCTAAAAAGCATGGTTAGGTACTCGTCTAAGCTCGCCTAGGAACAAGTCGGAAGGAAAACACTTCGCCTTGACAAAAAGCTAAGGAGAAGGCGTCACAATCACATTGTGGCTTTGGTGGCCTCTGGCCAGCTTTGAGTCGTGTCTCAAAATGATGTCATGATGTCTTTTTTCTATCTTTTGATATGCTAGAATATAGTTAGAGACGACAATATTTACAGAAGCGTCCTCTTTCTTTTTGCGCTTCTTCGTCTCAATATGTTTTGCTATATTCAAGCTTCTTCTTCCTTACTCATTTCTCCACACTATGTTTTATATTTTACCATGAGTGTTGGTGCAAGTTTAGAAATGAATGGTAGATGCGATAGTATTTGGTTCATAAACTTGTGATTCTAGACAAGTATGAGATATTATGTTACGTTTACATCTAGGAGTTGTTTGCTTGATGGATTTGGTGATGGACTTGGTAATAGATTTGGATCCATCATGGACTTTGTTCAAAATTCAATGTTTGCTTCATGTATTTTGGAGCAAAAAATCCGTGGGTCCCACGAATTTTAAGGGTCCAAATCCGTGAACCCCACGGACTTGAAAGTTCCACCACTTTAGGTGGGAATTGATCATGGACTTTGAAGTCCATCGCCTATGTTTGGCCCGACTTTTAGAAGTGCTTTTCGGCTTCAAAAGCTGAAGCAGGGTCAAACACCTTTAAAAGTTCGGCTTTTGAAAAGCCGAAAAGTGCTTTTATATAACATAAAAAAGCAGAAGTTGCGATTTGGAGCTTCTGCGAAAAGCTGCTTTGAAAATACAAGATTATCCTTACCATATTTTAATTTTATTTCAGAAAATATAATTTTCTTTCATTTATATATTTTTAAAAAATAAAATATAGTATAAAATCGTGTTATTTAATATAAAAGAAATCTAACAAGATTCACGTTGACTATTTTATTGTTTAGAATTATTATTCATAGTTTATATTATAAGTCCTTTATAGTCATTTTACACAACTTCTCATATCAAAAAACACTTTTAATAAATTTTCAACCAAACACTCAACTGTGTTTTTTTAAAGTACTTCTCTAAAAGCTCAAGCCAGAAGCTGCTTCTGAAAAAACTACAGCAAGGTCAAACTGAGCCATCATTTAAGACCAAACTACTCCTCCTATTTGATTTCTCTTCTCGTAAATGAGGGCAATAAAGGTAAATTTCATTTCATATATACAAATCTAATTAATCAATTCCTTCATGAAATCTATGAAATAAATAATAGTATTTTTCAAGTCCATAATGGATCCAAAACCCGTATATATCCATAGTTTTACAAAACGCAAATTATACGAAAATCTTCATTTTTCAAATATACGAAGCAATTAACCTGCTAACGCTTAGACACACCTACACAACGCCTAGACATACTGGTTGTCATTTGGGATGCCCTTTTCCTCCATCTGGTAATGTACTCAAGAGAATGACTCGGTTAGGTTGCAACTTGTCTCAAGGCAGAGCCTTGAACCTTGGGGAAAACACCAAAAAAAAAAAGCTCTGGAAAAGGTGCATTGGTGATGTCGGTTCAACTGGTTAACCTAACCACTACACATTTATTGGAACGGTCTAGTTCAGAAGAACTGGTAATTGATTGACAATACCAACATCACCAAAACTGAGAGCTTCCTTTGAAGCTTCAAAAGATCAATCAATAAGACAATGGATCCTTGAATAAGCCATCCAGAGAACTGGAGATCCAGATTCAACTATACCAACATCACCAAAACTGAGTTATGAATCAATTGCCCTCATGGTCCTTTTACTTGCTCAAAGTGAGACATGGACATCAACAGTGGAATTGGTCAATATGATATCTTTCGTGTTATCGGGTGCCTTAGGGTGATTAGGGCATTCTATTCTTATTCTGACATGCAGTGGTTTCACAAAGACGAGGTCTCTCAAATCCTTTTCTGATCTTGACAAGAGCTGAATGCATGAATCTCTTGTGGTTAAGCCGTGACTACCCCATTTTAGGATATCAGCTATCCTCGCTGCATGTTTATCCTGATTATCTTCTTCATCTACATTCGCATCTCTTCTGAGTCTCAGATACAGTGGTGCATATATGATCACCTGGAAATCAAAAGTGTGACCATTAAGCTTCAGGCAGACAAGTTAGGCATCCTGGTGTAGTGTTCATATCACAGTAGGACAAGGAATATTTAGTTACTAATGACAGTGTCGTAGAAACTCATTAACCTAAAGGATTTTGCCATTTGGTTGAGACGGATTTTATGTGGGTTCGGTTGGTATTTGGATGTAGAAACAATAAGGTAGTTACCTCACTCAAGCCAGGGCTCGTATTAACTGCACAATGAATCCGAACTTTGTCGTCCTCAAAATTCTCAGTGTCTGCAATTGTGCTATCATCATCCTCCACAATTGTCTCTGATTCAGCAGCCGATGAAAATGCCAGATTATCGAGTTCATCATACCACTTCTGGGCAACACCAACCTGTATGCAAACCATAAAAGCAGGAACTTCTAAGAGACCCAGTATAAAAGGAACACCAAAGGAATGAGATGAGGAAAGAAGACAACAGATAAGGACAATCAACCTTTTCCGAAGATTCCAGTTCAGCGTTTGTTCCTGAGACTTCAGTAGCAGCTCCTCTTGCCTGACGCCAGATACATCCCTCATGCAATGGTTCAACCAGTTCAGTATCTATTGGAATGTCGACCTTTATATCTACGTCTGTCCTGCCTGGTACACAGAGAAAAAAACATGCAAGCACAACATCCACTTAATTAGATATATTGTATGATATCATTTCAGAACAAAGAATTATATATTAATCAATGGTAAGTACATAAACCTGGCAATTGGTTGAAGTGTTGAAGATGATCAGTCCACAACTCATGAGTTGGAGAACTGCAAATCAGCCAGAAAATAAGCATCGTCAGCAGGTAAAGAGTGAGCAGTTTTTTTCTTCATTAATGGTATTTAAATAAATGCTCTAGTGTAATAAGAGCATTCAGTGCCTTCATACTTACAGGGAATATACCCTCTCCAGTGGGAAGGAGCACCAGTAGGGTAGTCCAAGGATCCTGTAATTCACCAACTGAAACATGGAGCAGGCCCTAGTTTCTCTATTCATTTTCACCACCTTCTGTGCAGCTTCAGTCAAAATAGGGGAAGAAATTTTGAAAGACCACAACGGCATAAAACAAGATAGGAGTAACGTACGAATAGCTGCTTACTTGTATCACAAGCAAACACGTGGCCGTTGAAAGCTGTAAGTGATGATATGAGGGTAGCATACAAGGTATCTTTACTTGACAAGTAAGTACCAGCCTGCTGTTCCAACCAATCACTTGGCATTTCCTTCAAGAGAGATAATTTATCTGTGATCAAATTTCCACAGGTATCTCGAATCTTTTGGAATCCTTCAGACACACAAGAAGTTAATGTTAGACAAACATACTAAATACAGAACAACTAAGCTAGGGTAAGGTTTTCAAACCTTTGATAACATCTTTTATCTCTCCAGTGGTCAAATCCATTACCCATAGTGTCTCAAAGCTGCTCATTAGAAAAAGAAAAAAAAACTTTTTTTTTATGTTCTTCTGAGACATAATTAAAGCAAGCATCTGAAATTAAGATCATAAAGTAGAAACGTTGGCGCCAAACTTAAGAAGACTAGGTAGTTGGTACATATATGAAGATATCTACCTCCGGTTAATGATTAAGCAGTGATCCTCCTCTTCTGACTTCAATAGATGCCAAGGAAACAGTAAAGACTGGGGATCAAACTCTTCGGATTTAGCTTCAACAGCAGCAATTCCAAAGCCCAGTTTACTTGCGATCTTTGTCCATAGACTTTCCTTTTCTACAGTAGCACTAGAAGAAGGATATAACGTCTCTAGAACCCGTCTCTCCAAGTCAGCTCTCCTGACTGCATGGTTCTTCGCAAACAAAATACACAAACAACGATAAATTATATAAGTAGATATATATTAGGGTTATAGGTATAATATGCCCCTTTACTATTTTTTACATCAAACATGCACTTTTGTTAAAATTTTCATCTAAAAACCGTCAACCACCTTTGGTTTGGGCGACTCAAATGTCTAAAATATCCCTAATCATTTCACTTTAGAATTTTTTTTTTTTTTTTCTTTTGTATAGCCAAATAATTCAAATAATTTCACTTTGAAGAGACCCAAAGAAATAAAACGGGGAAAAAACTGATATTTTCTCTCACATTTGCCGATGTCGGGTCATCTAAATCTCAGTTCAACCATGATAGACGATTTTTTCAATGGAAATTTTAGCAGAAGGGCATGTTTGATAATTTTGTCAAAGTACAGGGACATATTTGATGTAAAAAATAGTAGAGGGGCATGTTTGATAAAACGTTATAGTAGAGGGGCATATTATACCTATAACCCTATATATTAACACATTGAAACTTACAAAATTGATATTCTGACGAATTCCAATTCCAAAAGAGACCTCATGCATACCTCTGAGTCTACGAAATACAGACAATCCTCAGTGTCATCATAAAAGGAAGCTCCAGGGCGCAATAGCTTGGCACACTCAAAGTCTCCATCCTCAAAACCTGGAGAAGAACCAATCTGACACATAAAACTCGTAAGTTAAAAAGTTTTATCACTTTTCTCAGGTGTTAAAAGCAAAACACAACAGAATTGAGAAAGTAAATAGGCACCACAAAATATAAACTAGTATGAAGGTGATTTTAGAGTATCTATTATTCAACACTTTTAGCTGCAAAGAGAAGTGTTGAGGATACAGTGTTGAGGATACGGTGGAGGACATCACATGACACATTAACCAAATATATTGAAGTTATTAAAATTAATTACTTACACAGTCAAGAATACTTCCATTACCATCAGAAATGATGATACGGTGATGATTGGTGTCAGAAAAGAATAGCCGACTGCCACTTATATCTGCAGATATACAGCCTGCAGAAAACCGGGAGGGAAACTTGTTGAGCAAGCATGAACAACTTCTCTTAAAAATTTATATTAACAAAGTTATCTACTATAATTTATACGCATCTTGTTGAACATAAAGTTCACCAACTATGCAGTCTGCCAAGACTACATGCTGAGAACATGCAGTAGGACCAAAAATCTTAGGCAAACCACATAGATCCCAGGGATACTTTACCTGGGAAATAGAGAAGCAAGTTCTGAATAGGTGAAACAATGTATGGTTCCTTCACAGCATCAGCTAGTTTTGTCCAAGTGCTTTTCAAACAAGCCATACTGGAGTTTCCATCACCAGGATTCTGTTTTTGTAGTACTTGCATCTCCTCTACCACTGGAAAAGATTCGAAAAGACAAAACGAATATAAAGTAATCATATGATTATTTGTAGGAGTTTCTATCAATTTGACGTAGCTCTTCAGTTGCCCCCTAACGATATGCAACAAACTGTACCCATTTCAAAGAATGATACTTCTAAGAGGGGAATAGTAATGACAAACAGGTCATGCTAGAAGGCAAGCTTTTATCTAAATGCACATAATGTGAGAATGACAAAGAAATCAAACTTCAACTAACCAAGACAAAGACACCGCAATACCTGCATAAAGTGTTCCAATATCCAGATCCTTCTCATGCTGAACTAGAGGATTCTCTGAGTCTCTGAACATAATGTAGCAGGCTCCGTTTTCCATCTAAATAAAACGGAACATTCTTTTAATACTATTTAGAGATTAGCAAAAATCGGCCTATGGCATTTTCCTTTCACTCCACTAAAGCACAAAGTATTTCTTCCAAATGCATTAGTGGAGTTCCTTTCAAACCACACCATTTTTACCAGCACTGAGACTTGCCCAATCCCATATTTAGACATGACAGTCAAAGGCAAAACAACCATTCTTAGCTTTACTGACAGTGAATCCTAGGGTGGTTCTGAGAAGCTCAAGCTATAGTAACACTACAGTTCACAGCTGTTCTATGATGAACTTTATTACCTTACCTCTGTGAAGTTCTTGTTTGACAACAGAATGGGGAAGGTGATGTATTCTTTCATTATCAAGTCAATAACATGATCTCGATCAGCAGCGAAGCTAGCAGAACTCCCGGTATGAAGGCCCAAAACACAAAGTTCGGAGAATCTGGAACATAGAAGGGAGAAGATCCTCAAATTGAACAAACCTAACAATGCAACTGTTTAGATCAATACTGAAAGAAACACAAGTGGAAATTGGAAACTCGATCTCTACCTCTGCTGAAGCAACTTCACTTTTTCAAGCATGGCAATTATTTCAGAATCCTGTAAGAACTGTCCAGCGAGGATTAAAAATGTCCCATTTCTCTTCAAGAAGGGTTTATCTCCATAATATACATTTAACCAAACATGATTTGGGCCTGCAAAATCCATTTTGAAACCATATCAATGACATCATCTATCAACTAGCCAAGTGGACCTGAATCCATGCGTAAAACTAAAACTTGCACATAAGCAATCTAAACTTGGGCAACAACCTTCATGCTCATCGGCAATGGATCGAACAAAGGAGACCACCTCACCATCTGCTGCAGGGGCAGGAATACTAGTAGATGCTTCTTCTGATGCTGTCGAGTACCTGGAGATCACTGCCATTCATAAGTCAGGCAAAGTACGTAAAGCAAACACAGTGGTCTCAAACAAAAGAGCTTACAGAATGTCCCATTCCGCTGAGCAATTACCTCTGAGAATAAGAGAAGTTCCACCAAAGTATTCCTGGGTAGTTGGTGGTTCTAAGAAATGAACGAAATGGGGCGACTGAAGTGGAGACAGAGTAACCTCTTCTGGCTTCTCCGCTCTGCCCTAAGTATATTCCTAGCAACAAAAGTTACGTAATTGAAGTTCATAAATTTGACCAGTAGGATAGCTATCGAAACAACAAAGGAATTCCACCAAGGCAAAATGGGCTAACCAGAAGAAATGCGCCGGGAAAACCTTAAAAGTTGTCTCAAGCTTCTACATATCTGCATCATTTCGCCTTCTTTTGGTTTCGTTCCGCTCGTGTTCTTCCCGCGTCAGCCAGATAGTTACTTAGTAGAGAGCTTGAGATGGAGTTAGGATGCGAAACTGAAAGGCGACAAGGTTTTGAGGAAGAAGAAGCATTGGCGGGGATGGAAGTGCGAGTTCTTAGAGAGTCGCGGCGGCGTGCGATGGCGGCCAGAAGGGGAGTCCAATGGCCCGTTCACTTGCCATTCCATTTTTTATATATGCCACAACAGAAAACAAAATAAAATGAAAACATAACTTTCATATTCTGCAAAACAAAACCTGCAGAAAACGTGTTTAGCTGAGAATTTTGGTGAGTTCTGAAACTGAATTCTGAAAATAAAAACATGTTTAGTTATTTCCTACTGTTTTCTGCTAATTGATTATCACAATTTTTTCATTGAGTATCATACAATTCTAATCATAATTATAATTTTTAATATGAATGACATTGTTTTCAAAGTACTAATAAACACAATACAAGTATAACATCATATGTCGAATAAGTTCCTTTATTGCCCTCATTGCACTTCATTGACATTCTCTTTCATGCAATAATCTCGATAGTCTTCAAATAAAGTATCGTAATTGAAGTATTCTTTTCCACCTCATTACCATCCATTGCTTATCAAACTACAATTCAAACAACAAAGGCATCTACATATCCCAACCAAACCGTTTTCCACCTCATTACCATCCATTGCTTATCAAACTACAATTCAAACAACAAAGGCATCTACATATCCCAACCAAACCCACCGCCCAAAAAAGGACTCCAGATACACCAATCACCCAGGCTGATCTAAACCCACCCTTCCCATTAGTCACAGAAACTGCTCTAAGTGCCAAAATCACCACTTACTTTCAGTTGCTCATCAGTAGTCGGATCTTAGTCCTCAAATCGACAGTTATTGCTCTAAGTGGATTTGTAACAACTCAACTAATTAACAAGAAACTGTTAGGAGTGTCTTGGAGATGGTAAGTCAGGTATTGTCGTTTGAGTCGGTGCAGCTCGTTTTGGGTTATAGAGTTAAAAGTTAAAATAGTTAACGTGTGTAGCAGTCAGGATGAGTCGGTTAGTGCCAACTGTTAGTGGGGTTAGATGTGGCGAGATTAAAGGAGTCAGTTAGGAATCAGGAGTTCTGGTGTTTGTACTTAAGTTGTTTTTCATTGTTCAATAAAATTGATTGAGTTTCATCGGCTAATTATCTATCAAAGTGGTATCAGAGCCTATACGAAAAAACCCAAGGGACGCTAACTTTCCAGTGGCGGTGGCCACCAAGGCCACCGCCCGCCTACCGTGTGTAGGAAGAGGAGAGGCAGAGGTAAGGAACAACATAACTAAGGGGTCATCCAGAACTGCAAATTAATCTGAGATTTGACAATGGAACGATGAACTGGAGAATCGAGAGGTCGAGATGTTCTCAGTTACCTTTCTGAAAATGGTGACGATGTAGGGAAGGAAAAGATCAATTGCATCACCAGCGGGGTTTCCTTCTTAGGCGTCACCAGCTGGACGAAGATTATTAGCTTCCGGAGGAAGGAGGCAAGGAAGAAGACTAGAGAGGACACTAATGAAGGCGAAGGAGACGAATGAAACAACAGTAGCGGCGTATTTTTTTTTTTTTTACCACTGCTGGTGGAACTTGGCCGGCAGACCTTTGAATTCCTTCATTGAATCTTTGTTGGCCTCGCCTGGATCGATCCAGCTCGGTGACGAGTGTGCTTTGCCTTGAATCAGCTGTGAAATTGGTGAGTTTCTTCTTCGTGTTAAGCAGAGAATCAGTAGTGTTAGTCTTGGACTTTGTGGGTGATGTTGATTTAGAGGAATTGGAGGGTTTTGGGGTAATTAGTTTGATCTGGTTATTCTTACCACTAGAAGAAGAAGAAAGAGGCAGGACATCCCCAGTATCATCGCTGGTAGTAGTCCTCTTAGTGAGTTTCATGGAATTTGATTCCTCTTAGCAGTGAAAATGGTAGATTTGGAAGCGAAAATGGTATTTGATTTCTCTTAACAGCTTGGTGCTTGATGATCCATCTGATGGTGATGATGATAAGTTGCGAAGTACTGCTGAGAAGTACGTTCCTTGGACAGATGCTGTAGTTTTTGGTTGCTCATCCACGTCTTTGTCTAGTGAAGAAGCAAAGAGGATGAGCGGGGGAGTGAACAAGAAGAAGAAGAGCAAAAGCATCTTTATTTCAGGAACCAGGTTTGGTTTGATTCTGATAGGATATTCATGAACTTGGGATGAAGCTATACTTAGAGACAGTGGAGGATACTTTAACATTTATGTGCCCAGGAACTGTTTGATTTTTGCTATGGACAAATTACAAGAGATGGCAACATTGATCTTATTCAATGGGGGCAATGTTCACATGTCAAGAGCTAGAAAGATTGCTTTAGAGAGTGTATATGAATGGGTGAAGATTGAATATGAGAAGGCTAGAGAGAGATGTGGTTAAGACCAGTAGCGTAGATGTTCATGTGAAGCTGTGGGGTTCACCCAAAAGTAACACCATCTGGTTGGGCTTGTGGGATCAATCATGGTGGGTTTAGGTCTGGTCAATTCGGTGGAGCAGATGGGTACATATTGGAATGCAAGGAACTTGAGTTTTACATGAAGGAACTCTGGAGGGAGAAGGGAAAAGTTGATGCTACCGGAAAAGTTTAGTCTCAGAAAAGTTCTGGTGGGAAGAAAAGTATAGTGCCCGGGAAAAGTAGCAGCAGTTGCAGGACGACAAGGCTGTTGTGATGCAAACAACAATTGAGAGTTGGGAAGCTATCAAATCCAAATGTCAAGGATCCAAACATGAGAAGAATCAATGTAAAAGATGATCTCCATGATGGATATGCAGTTTCAGATGGAGGATTTCAAAGCAAAGATGGTGCTCATGCTGTGAACTGAAGGTTGTTTCAATAAGCTTCAGTTCAGGGGAGGAAATGGATCTTTCTGCAAGAAAGAGAAGTAGCAGCTTGTGATTGCAATATGGGGCAATATGGGAGTGCACAACTTTTGATGCTGCCTTGGTAAACTATAAAGTTTGTGCGTGTGATTGTAGCATAAGTTCAATTGGAGGCTTTCAGAGAAGTAGATGATTAGAGTGACTATTGGATTAAGGGAATCCATGGTTGTGCAAGGCTGCTCAGGGAATTGTTTAAGGAAATGTCAGCTGGGCATACCTACGAGTGAAGTAGGTGGTGTAACCTGTGAGTGAAGCAGGTTTGGTGTTAATGTCAGCTAGACATACCTACGAGTGAAGTAGGCGGTGTAACCTGTGAGTGAAGCAGGTTTGGTTTCAATGTCATTCGACGAATAGACAGCAGAATGACTGTTCTTATTCGGTGGACGGATGACTGGTTAGTAGTACTCAGTTGTTTGTCATTCAACAAGTAACAGTTTGAGAGCTTGCAACATAAAACTAAGTTTGTTGTAATTCTCGCTTGTTGGCAGATGACATAGGGGAGAGACCTGAGTTTGTAGGTCTAAGTTTGTAGGTCTAGAGAGTACAGTGAAGAAACCGGAAATCAAACAGTTGAGCGGGCCTTACCAAGAAGAAGATAAAAGAAAGTAAAGTTGAACTGAAGCCAATCTCATTGGAGGCTAGCATCAAATGTTTGAGTTTATTGATAGTGTTGCTACAAACTCAAAAGCTGCTGGAAAATATGAAGTTGCAATGATGCTGATTGAAGAAGTGAAGTTGTTGCTGTTAATTTGTTGAAGACTGGTGTTGCAGAAAGTTGGATCTCGCGGAAATATAGCTTTGAAGTAAACTGAATTGTTTCAGTTTGAGGAGAGGCAGAGGTTCAAAACCATGTTTACATGGAACGAACAAAGTACATGAAAGAAACAAACCCGGACTGCCTGTGAAACTTTTCTTTTGATTTCAAAAAGGGGTTTGGAAGAGCAACTCATTGCTTTGTGCAAAGCAAGTGGTTCAGAAGGGTTCTAAAGTGTGGATTGGAAAGGAAGTTGACTTGAAGGTACCAAAACAAATTTTGACAGCAGCATCAACCATTATCAATGATTGTTGTTGCAGTCATTTGAGTTTCCTGTGTTTGAAGACTGTTGTTGCTGCTTGAAAAGGATGTTGTTGTCGCTGCTGCTAAAGTTAGTGTTATCATTGCTGCAGGAGATAGTAAGCTGAATATTATAAATAATTCAGCTTAGGGGAGGATTTGTTAGGAGTGTCTTGGAGATGGTAAGTCAGGTATTGTCGTTTGAGTCGGTGCAGCTCGTTTTGGGTTATAGAGTTAAAAGTTAAAATAGTTAACGTGTGTAGCAGTCAGGATGAGTCGGTTAGTGCCAATTGTTAGTGGGGTTAGATGTGGCGAGATTAAAGGAGTCAGTTAGGAATCAGGAGTTCTGGTGTTTGTACTTAAGTTGTTTTTCATTGTTCAATAAAATTGATTGAGTTTCATCGGCTAATTATCTATCAGAAACAACCTCAGATCACACACTTCATCAATTGCCAAACAGATTACAAACAAACAAAAGGGCATACAATTCACAAAAGGGCAAACAAATTGCCAGTTCTAACACGTCTTTCACACACTTCACCGCTAGCTAATTAAACCACCACAATCAGCAAATTTGACGAACGGAGATAATTGACATCCGAGCTAGCTAATTAAACCACCAAAAACTTCAATGATGGCCCAAAGCTTGGCGGATGACATCAGAATCAGTTATCATATCATAGACACATGAATCAAACATGGAAATGGGTAGACTTTCAAGAGAACCAAACAGGGGAGCAAGTAAATCTTTGTGGAGAAGGAAATCTTTCATGGAGGCAATATGTTCTGTTCCTACACAAGGCAAAGTTGGAAGAGGACTAACCTCAAGCAGAGGAGATCGTCGATGCTGCTGGGAGCGGGAAGGCCGGCTGTTTCGACGCTGCTGGAGGAGAGGATTCGTCCGATGGAGAGGCTCGAACGAATCGTCGGGTGGAAGAGGGAGATGGCGACCGGCTGTAGGTTCTCTTCGACGGTGGAGAATCGCGTCGCTGCAGCTTGATTTCGCCGACTGGAGGAAGGATTCGCCTTCGCTGCTTCCCGTTGCAGACGCGGTCGTCGCTGCTGCTTCTCTTCTCACTCAGGCGCGGGAGAGGGATCGAGTTCGCCGCCGCAACTGCTTTCCGCCGGTTAGTCTTCCTGGATCTGTCTCGACCGCGAAGAATCCAGGAGTAGCAAAGGGGCGTCGACGGGCGGACCGAGCAGCACAGCAGCCGCGACGGGGCCCTTCCTTCTCCCTCCTCGCCTTCGCTCGGCGATTGAACTTGAAATTCCAGGGTGAACGGTGCAACGGCGACGATGGGGAAATTGGGTGACGTACTTCCAAGGCGAACGATGCAATGGCGGTGATGGGGGAATCAGGCGACGTACTTTCAGGCGAACGGCGGTGGTGAAAGAATCTAGGACGAGATTTCTTTCGATTCCGAATGGATGAACGACGGCTTTGGGGCGACTGATTTAGAGATTAGGGCGAACATTTTGGGAATTGGGGGACGAGACTATTTTAGGGCTTGGGGTAAAATTGTCCGTTTATTAATTTAGGGCGACAAAATTTAAAAATTTAGGGCATTGAATAGGATTTCAGTTTACTTTTAGTGGGCAAAACGGCGACATTTAGGAAAAGAGGAGATAAGTAAAAACAGTAGTCGCTGGCAGGGATCAAACAAACGACCTCATTAAACAGCAGTATCCATTTTCCGCTAGGAAACAGGGATAACCCGTCCCATTATTTCCAGGAAACAACTTTTAATGGTTTCCTTCTAGCTTCCTCATTTATGCCAAATGAATTTTTCCAACGAAAACGAAACTACAAGTGAACACGTTTCTTATCATTTGTTTCTTGATTTTCATTTTTACAATAGAAAACAAAAAACAAAATGGGAAGTGAACGGGGCGCAAAGGAAGTCCAAAGAAAAACCAGCGCCAAACAGGGAGAGAACGAAAGCAAGGAAGGAAGCTTGGAAGGCCGTAGTAAGCCCAGACTGCTTTGTCAGAAGTTGGCCTGGTCCGTTTAATTACATTCATAAAAGAAAAAACCACAAGATACGACGTCGTTTCCATCTCTATGGTCGGTTAATCAAAATCCCGAATTAGGGTAAGAAAAAGCAAAATAGCTTTCAAAGAGCTGCTGAAACAATCGGTCGGAAGATATACCGCTGAAATCTGCTGAGAACAGGAGCAATTTCCGGTACAAATTATCAGGGAGAGGTATCGGACGAGCTCGTCGCCGGCAAATCCAAGTTCGAAAACACTAGAAACAAGTAATGGACTTGCTCCAATGATAAAGTACAATAAAGGTGGCTGAAGGTACATATGCAAACACTAGAAACAAGTTGTTATGGTGGCTCAAATGGGTTTTGGCTTGTGTCATACAACATCAAATGTAGGGATTGAAGTTCTTGTTGAGATAGTTTGTTGCTACTATCCAACCATGAGCAAATGATGTAGTTGATTCTGTTGGATAGAGTGGCGCTGCTTGTGTAGTGATCACGACTCACGAGAAAGTCTAGCATTCCACTCAGTCCATAATAACCAGAACACTGCATGTGGAAGTGGCCAGAAAGCATTTGACAATCTGCAACCTTTGGTGACGTTTGACCATTGAACTAGTAGCTCGCTGCAACTACGAGGTAGAGGGCCAGCAAGATTGAGTCGAAAGAGAGAGAAGTTCCGTACCCTGGAAGAGTAGCTGCAGGGGAGAAGTAAGTGGTCTGCTGTCTCTTCTGAAGCAAATCAAAGACAACAATGATTGGGGAGAATCCACCCTCGTAATCGAAATTGAACGGTTGTCAGGATTTTTCTCCGAAAGCCAACCAACTGAAAATTGTGACTTTGGTGGGTACCATCGGCTGCCAATGGATTTTGTTGGGAATGACGATCCAAGCCCAGGAAAGAGATCTCGAGTCAATTCCTTATAACAGAGGCTGAGAAGGCATCCTCCTGCAAAGTGGATTACCTTCGAATCGTATTTGCCTCTGTAATATTGGCTTCTAACTGAATGTTCCTTTTTTCCATTGAAAGTGATTTCAGAGAGGGAATTATATTTTCCATTTTGATTATCTTTCCTGTGAAATTGAACTATGGAGGCGTTAAGCTGTTGAGATTAATTAGGTTTCTGGGGAGCTCCATGTTTAGTTTTTTTTTTTGGATAGACTTGTGATAGTTCATTGTGATTTATTAGGGTTGGCAGTGTTATAATTGTGCTTAATGATGTTTTGCAGAGGACAGGCTTCGGTGAAGCTGTGAATTTTTGCCCATTAATCCGGCAATGGCAGATTCAGGAGAATCTCAACAGCCTGAACAAGGTATTGATGCTCACTCTTGAACCGTAGTTTCTGCTTTGATTTGCTTTGTTCCCATTTTCTTGGGTTCTTATGATACATCTTTTCGCCTTCTGCTGTTCTGCAGTATGCAGCTTTTTCAGAAAGCCAACTAAGGGGAAGAACATCAGGAAGAGAGCAGTAGAAGACGATGATGCCGAGGATCCAAAAACCGACAGCTCTTTCTTAAACTATCAGAAGAAGGTGCCAAAGTCTTATAACAAGCTATACTTCTCGACAGGACCTTCCAAGAGCTCAAAGCCATCTGATTCCAACTCGGACAACAATGAGAAATCCATCTTTCAGTTTGAGTCTTCAAAGGAAATTCAGGTACAAAATGACAGTAGGGCAACAGCAACTCTGGAAACCGAGACAGACTTTGGAAGAGATGCAAGGGCCATACATGAAAGAGCTCTTAAGAAAGCAGAGGAGGATCTGAAGGGTAACAAACAGATTTCTTCAGGCGGCAATGAGAAGCTGTACAAAGGAATTCATGGGTATACAGATCACAAAGCTGGATTTAGAAGAGAGCTAACAATCGCAAGTGAGAAAGCTGGTGGATCACATGGGCCACTTAGGGCATCTGCACACATCAGGGTCTCAGCAAGGTTTGATTATCAGCCGGATATATGTAAAGATTACAAAGAGACCGGTTACTGTGGTTATGGAGCTTCTTGCAAGTTTATGCATGATCGAGGGGATTACAAGTCTGGATGGCAAATGGAGAAGAAGTGGGATGAGGCAGAGAAGGCAAGGAAGAGGAAATTAGCTATGGGTGCGTTGGCCAAGGAGGAAGGTGAATTTGATGAAGCCAATGATGATGACGACGATGATGACGACGATGCGCTGCCATTTGCATGTTTCATTTGTAGGGAGCCTTTTGAAGATCCTGTTGTGACCAAGTGCAAGCATTACTTCTGTGAACATTGTGCTCTAAAGGTACCTACCTACTCATCTCCCGAAATTTAGAATCATGATCATCAATTCTTTTGCCAAGTTCTATGTTTAGCTTGCAATTCTGTAACGTGAGTAACATTCACTTATTGTGTTTTCTTCTGTCTTTTTCTTGCAGCATCATTCCAAGAACAAGAAATGCTTCGTCTGCAACAAGACGACACTGGGTATTTTCAACACTGCTCATGAAATACGCAAGAGGATGGCAGAGGCGAACAAATGATCATGCTGGCTTTCTGCAGATGCTGTATCGGCTGATCACTTTTTGAGTCCCTGACACGGGCTGTTGCATCTTCCCGGCTCATGACACTTCGAGCAATTTCATTTTATGAGAGTTATTGGTGATCTAGTATGACACCATCGCATTAATTTAAGAGTATACCATGTAATCAAAAAGTTGATCTGCAAGCGTCTGGAGTCCTGATTTGCTTGTATTTTGTAGACAGTTCTTTTCATGTCTACATTGATGTGATTGCGAATTTCATCCTCCAATTAAATTTCAACCGAATAGGTGCATGAAAGATCTTAAGGGGTTGTTTGGATTAGAAAATGTGGGTAGGATTTTGGCACAATTTTTTGTCATTAGGGATTTTGTCACAATTCTTTGTTTGGATAGGAAAATAAAAATGAGAGATTTTGAGTCACTAGGAATTTTGAAAATCCTATCATTATAGGAATTTAAAATAGCTGATGGACCCCATATGTTTTGAAATCTCTGCCCACTTTTTCCCAACCTTGCTAATTTGTCCCTCCTTATTTTTTGTTATTACTTTCTTACCCTCACTCTTTATTCAACGACCCACCACTTCCAATTGTCAAGAAACAATTGTTCCCAATAACTCGAGTTGTTGGGAGAAGCAACTGTTGGATCTTATACTACTCTCTATCACGCCCCCTCAAACGAAAACCGATCCATGGGCTTGAAGTTTGCACAGGCCTACCATACCCTATGCTTTAATTAACTGTTAATATTGAGGGTCGTGGAGATTCGAACATACGACCACTTGGCCAAACTAGCTCTGATACCATGTCAAAACAAGTTGCTCTCAATAACTCGAGTTGTTGGGAGAAGGTTCTGCTGGATCTTATACCACTCTCTAACACCAATCTCTCTTTCCCATCTACATCTTTTTCTTCCCTCCCGATACGAGAAGCTGCAAGCAGAGTTTCAACCTCACATCGTTGGTGACTGCACCGGAAATAAACCTAGCGACGTCGGCGACTGCAGCAGAGTTTTACCAGCTCCGATCTACACCGACGTCGGCAGGCGCCTTGAAGTGCGTCCGATCTCCATATTCGTTCTCGCTAGCTTCGCGTGGGATTTGTGCTTCGGACTCAACCAACTGAAGCTTTGAATTACTTTAGGACTGATTTGGTCTCGGAGATGTGGCAAACTCGACCTGCTAGATTTCGAGCTTCTTCTTGAGTTTGATTCATTGTTGTTTGGTTGTATTCATTAAATATTGAGGACTTGTTCAGTTATAATTCAAGGTAGCTGTTTTGACAAGTAGACAGAATTGGGATCCCCTCTTTGCCCCTCTTTTTTTTTTGTTATAGTGTTTTCACTTCTGAAATATTACTACTCTCAGTTTTGGATTGTGAAAGAAGTTGAAAGTTTTAGATGAATCCCATGAATTTATCTGAATATTGGATCATGGCATAATAGCTTTTCTGCGGTTTTAAACTTGCTCCTTGATTTGAATGGAGGCTGTGTTCGGCGTAGTTGGGTTGTTATTTAATGAATGCCTATTTGGTCGCAGACTCGCAGTGTTTGATCCGTCTGTGGACCAACTTTGGCTTTTTGTCAGTGATTATCTTGGCTAGTAGTAGTCTCAATGATTGATTTTTGCTATGCTGGGTGCAGACCTGTTAGTATGAGCAGCAGCCAGCAAGTTCCTCTCGACATGATCGAAACAGAAATCGGGACTTATCTAAGCTCGTACCAAGTACCAAGTATATTGTTTGCTGGCTTTAGTTGGGCATTAGGAAACACCTAGGTAAGCCACATGGATAAGCTCTTTCACATGCAGGGTAAGATATGTATGCAAAGCCCTATAAGTAGTGATCATTTGTTTCCCTCCTTTTCAACGTCTGTTTAAGATGCCTGCTATATTGTAGTCTAGTTGAAGCTGATATTGATTTAGTTGTTTATCTTGTTTCCATTTGTAATGAATAGGGATGGCAAATTACCCACCCATGGGTAATTATACCCAAACCCAAGTAGACCCATTGATAATGGGTTGGGTATGGGTGAAGTGCATATGGATTTGGGGGTTTATAGATGGGTTTGGGGCTTCCATAATCTAAATGGGTATGGGTTGGATATGGATATCCATTTACTTGAGGGTGTTTTAACTACACATGCAAAAATTGGACCTATTTGCAAAACTTGAAAAGTTTAGGTACCAAAATGTAAGACCAAAAAAATTTAGGTACCAAAACGTAATTTTCCATCGATATTTTGAGGACTTATATGCAAAAAAAATTAAATTTAGGTACTAAATATGCATATCTATTAAATTTGGGTACCAAACTGTAATTTGTATTTGGGCATGGGTACAAACCCAAATCCATTTGATATAAACCCAACTCAACCCAAAGTAGATGGGTATGGGTACAAACCAATCAAACTCTACCCATATCCATCTATTTGGATTTCATACCCAACCCAATTGGGTTGGATAGTAAGAAACCCATGGGTATGGGCAAAGTTGCCATCCCTAGTAATGAATACAATGTTCTATTTATAGATTGGTTGTATTCTGTGTTTAATGTAATTATCTACAGCAGTATGAAACTAGAGTTGTTTATACCGTTCTCTTTGTACTTATCTAGGCTAAGACATGGATATCCTTTTTTGTATTGTTCTCTTTTGCAGCATGGGAAAGAGAAAGCAACGTGATGAGGATATGGATGGTGCTTGCTCTAAGACATATACGTACGGGAAAGAGGAACTAGACAAGCCATTTGCTGACTATATTATGGAGCTAGTAGAGAAGGGGCAGATCGTTGACGCCAACTGCAAGAATGGGGCTTATAAGAAGCAGTTAAAGAAACTGTTGCAGGGAAAGAGTGTTGGGATGCAGGTCAAGGCATATCCTAACATTGAAGGCAGGTTCAAAAAACTGAAAAAGAGATGGCATGCAATAACATTTATGAGGAAAAAAGTGGTTGGGGATGGTGCGAGGTCAATAAATGCATTGTATGTCCCGAGAGATCTTGGGATGATTTTGAGAAGGTAAATTACAGCATGATCTTCATTTTTCTTTCCTATAAGCTACTCCTTTTCTAATATAAGCTGCCATTTTCTTTCTATTTATATTGTTGTCTTGCAGAAGCACACAAGCTGCAGAGGGTTGAACAAGAAAAGATTTCCCGTCTACGATGACATAGCACCAGTTTTTGCAAAGGGCGTGCAAGTGGTGAGCATGTGGTCGACACCAATGTTGTTGACGCTATCGATTTAGAGGATGATGAAATTGCGCCTGTCGAAAATGACAAAATGGATCATATGTTGATGGAGGAAATACAAGCACAAATGGTAGCACAGAATAATCAATCTTCCAATGTTACCGCCTCAACCGATGGTGCTCCAATTAAGAAGAGAAAGAAAGGTCAGACAGTTGATGAGCACCTCGCCAACTCCACTAAGGAAATGAGAGAACTTCGACCACTGATTAAGCAATCAGTTGACACTATTGCGAGAGCACTCGGGGAGAGCGATGATCTCATTAGCAAGAGATCGATTCTGCTGAGGAAGTTGGAAGAACTTGGAGGCCTCACAACGGTTGATATCATTACTGCATTGCGAAAGCTCTCTAACAGCGACAGGGACCTGGTGACTAATAGAAATCTATTTCTAGGGTTCTATCGATTGGGTTGGGAAATTGGGGATTGATGGAGATTTTAGAGATTAGGGATAGAGATTGAGAATTTTGGGAAGACGAGATTGAGAGGAGAAGATTAGGGTTTTGGGAGGGATAACTTTCTTATTAATTTCTGCTTAATCGAACAAAAGACTCCAAGTACATATTTATAGTTAGGGACCAGGAAAACCTAATAGACTATCCTAATATGACTCAAAAACTACTAACTATTAAACGTATCTAAATAAATCCTAATAATAGTAATTATAATAATTATGATAGAACCTGAAAATTAGGTTTCTATCATCCCCTCCCCATTCAGACCAACATTGCCCTCAAGGTTGACCGACTCGACCCACTTCTTCACATCGCCCCTGCAACCCGCGTCTTGCCTTCTCCATCACTTGCGCTTCCTTTTCTTCCAATCCTGCTCCAACTTTAGTACTAGGCTTCTTCCACCGATCCTCGTGGGCTGATTTAATTCCTCGACTTTCACTTTCATGGGCCCACTAGTCGCTTCCTTTACAAATTCGAATAGCTCCTGTTTTGTTGGCATCATACCCCCGCCGCTTAAGGGATTCGAATGTATGTTCTTGTACAAAAACTTATCTTTGAGTACCAACTCATCAAGACCCGCGAACATCTTCCTTGAATCTAGCTCATTACTCTGTCAAGTTGTTTCTCCAATTAATTTTGGGCCTAGCTCTCTTGAAAGCCCATCTTTTATTCCTACCAACCCACATCTCTTTTTCTGCAAATCCATCCCATTTAAACATAACCCCAACTACCAGCTCGTTTGGGGCCCGAGACCACAATCTTGGTCGGCCCATTCTGCTTCAAGCTCCAGCCATTCAATGGCTTTGGCTTGGCCCACCTTGACTTGTTTAAGTTAGGCCCTACGAATCCTTCCTTGCGAGCTTACCTACTCTTCCCCAGCCCACACACAGCCTTCCAACTTGGCCCGCTCAGCTGCTCCAATCGACTTGACTTGAGCCCACTAATCACATTCGGCCGCACACAGCCCACCCTTGGCGACTTAGGGTTTGCAAGTGGAGGAAACCAGCCGCCAACCTCCTCCTCCGCCTTCTTCTTCCATGTTGTGCCGCCCGCCATCGTCGACGGTTCCTGCTTCTCCAGCTATGGCGATGCAACCCGGCCTGCTGGCGCCTCGACCCTCCTCCTCTCCTCCTCCGGTAATGCCTCCATTTCTGGCGACGTGCAAATCTCATCACCCGCCTGCTCTCTCCTTCTTCCTCTCGTCCTTCGGCGAACGGCGCACCAGGGCACTTGAAGTCCACCCCAGTGACTTCTTCTTCGGCTTCTTCACCCTGACGGACGACGAGCAGAGGGTTTGGCCGCCGCCAATCTTCTTCTCCTTCCTCGACGGTGTGTGAGCCATTGCCTCTTTCTCTAGCAGCGCACAATTCAACCGACGAAGCAAAGGACAACCCACTCCCATTGTTGCTCGTTCCCGCTCCCTCGTCACCGGGACTGGCGTAGATCGCGACGTCGGTGTGCAAATCCAGCGGCTCTTGGTTGCCTCGTTTGCTGGCGACGCTTGCCTCATCGAGAAGTCCACTCTGCGGCGAGATGGTAAGCTCGATATGGACGACTTCGACTCCGCTTTGCGTCGACGACTGACGCTAGCACGGGCCTCCCTCTTCTCATCGAGTGTCGCCACCCATCGCTTGCGGAATGCGTTAGGGTGGTAACTAAAGTTCTAGTAGCCATCGTGGCTACATCATTATCTGCCGTCCATGTTTATTTTTTTCATTTTTTTAATCTCATGGTTAAGATTACGTCAGGGTAATTTTGGAAACGAAAAAGAGTCAACGTCGGATTATTCTATATATTCTACCCAAACCCTACTTCTACACTCCCCTCCCTCCAACCAAACCCTACTTCAGACGGTTGTCAACTGCGGGTTGCCCGCCCTCCATCCCTCTCCCCTCCGACCACCTCCCTTCGGCGGCCGTCCCTCCCCCTCCTTCCCGATCCCCTCTCTCTCTTCCATCTGTTCTTCCTCCGCAATAACTGAACAACTGATTTTTTATTGGTATGTACTTTCTCGCATTGGTAGTATTTTTTTCCGTAATGGTAGTGTTTTTTGGCATTGGTATTGAAAAGGTGGGATGAATAAAAACCTTAGATTTGATTTTTTCTAATTGGTAGTGATTTTTTCGTATTGGTAGTGATTTTTCGTAGTGGTAGTGTTTTCGCATTGGTATTGTTTTTTCGCATTGGTAGTGATTTTTTCGTAACGATAGTGTTTTTTGGCTTTGGTATTGTTTTTTCCTCATTGGTATTGATTATCATGTAAGTGTATTGCTTTTAAGTGAAATGGTACTTTTTTGTAGTGGTAGTGTTTTTCACATTGGTATTTTTGTTGCATTGGTATTGATTATTATGTAATGGTATTGATTTGCATGTATTGATATTAATAAATCTGCAATAGTATTGGTGTTTTGTAAAATGGTAGTGTTTTTATTTCACGAATGGTATTGGTGTTTTATGCATTGGTAGTGTTCTTTTAATGGATTGGTATTGTTTTATTGTTAGTGGACGAAAACAAGGAAAAGATTGAAAAAAAAGGAAGAGAGATCTGGCTGGAGATTGTGGAAGTGAGAGAAAGAGAGAGAGAATTGTAATTAATATATTTTTGTAACTTCCTAAAATGTAATTTGTTAAAAAAGATAATTAATAATTTTTTGTCATACCCAGTTTGCCCTTAGTAACCACGGTGATTACTATTTTATAGTAATCACCATAACCTGTCCCCCTTCGTCTCTCTGGCGAACAACCTCTTCTTCTTGAACTTCCAGTTGACTCTGCAACTCTTCATTCGCAAACCTCGAATTGGAGTTTCTGGCTCTCGAAAATTCACCTGTGAGGTTCTCTCCAATTTTATATATGATTCATACTCCTCAGCGCACAACACGGCCACTTAGAACAAGCTCATTGTGGCCTTCGAAGCTGCCACAGCAGTGGGTGTCGGCGTTGGTGACGCTGTGCTCTGAATGGTAGTCGTTGTTGTTGATGATTGCGACATCATTTTAGCCGAAGACAAGGCCTTGTTGTTGGTGATTTGCTACTCGGCGGTGATGATGTTTGGGGTGGCAGCGGCGTCGTCAACACCTGCTCCATTTAGCACTGTCGTCCCATCGTCCGCAGCCTCCTCTGTGACTGTCGAGCCATCATTTGCAGTCACCTCTATCGGATCTGCCAACGCCGATTTTGGATGGATGTTGGTCGTGCGGCGGTGGGCCATAATTTTCTCGAGTTTGGCTAGAAGTTTTTCGAGGCCTGCCTCATATTGTTGTGGTGATCTTCCATGTTAGCTTCATATTTTGCTAGGTTGGGTTGGAGGGTTTCAATCCCTTGATAGAGGTTCTGATAACAATTCCCTGGTGAGAGTTGTGATGAACTCAGATTCGTGACCATGGCTCTGATACCAGATGATAGAAACCTATTTCTGGGGTTCTATCGACTGGGTTGGGAATTGATGGAGATTTTAGAGATTGAGAAGAGATTAGGGATAGAGATTGAGAATTTGGGGGGAAAAGACAAGAATGGCTGGCGACCTAGGTAGAGGTGAAGATGAGATTGAGAGGAGAAGATTAGGATTTTGGGAGGGATAACTTTCTTATTAATTTTTGCTTAATCGAACCAAAGACTTCAAGTACATATTTATAGCTAGGGACCAGGAAAACCTAATGGACTATTCTAAAATGACTCAAAAACTACTAACTACTAAGGGGTCATCTGGAGAACGGGATTTAGGGCGTGGATTCATTGAATCCGTAGATTTTGTAGAAAGTTATGTTTTTTTGTATTGTGAATTTTAGCTTTAGAGATTTCAAATCTCTAAAATCCACGGATACATAATAAGAGAGATTCTATATCTTGATTCGTGAGATTTTTTTTCTCTTACTTTTCTCCTTCTTTTATTTATTTATCATATTAAATATATTTATCAACAAAAAAATTTAATATTTCTAGAACCATTCTAATTTTTTTATTAAGGATAAACATGTTATTTAATAATAATAATAATAATAAATTATTTTCATTGAATGTTAACAATCACAGATACCAAACGGTAAACATTTTAAAATCTATTTTCAACAATCCGAAGAGTTAGAATATTTAGATTGTTGACAATCAAAGTCACGCAGCTAACGACTCAATCGAAGAATCGATTGAGCTCGGATCAAGAACGAAGCGTTCTTAATACGAACTTGGATAAAATGGAACCAAAAGGACAAATCCACACTTGGGGATAGCTCGATTGGTATAAAAGGATAGTTACTCGACCACGATTGAAGTGACTATTCAATCGATACACAAGCTCGGCAAGTTTGGAATCCACCAAACCCAAAACAAGTCGCAACTTGCACAAACCAAACGGTTTCTTTTCTATTCAACAAAGTCTGAGTTTTACAACGAAATGGAAAGGTTAAATAGGCCTAGCTAGGGTTACACACGTCCCATAAACTGCTAATTACAGTCTAATACGAAAAGGAATCAAAAACTACCAAAACAATGAAATCCTAACTATACAAGAAAAAGAAAATCTGCCTTTAGCTCCAAGTAACCAAACAGCTTTGATGCCATCTTTGAGCCTCTCGATCAAAGCCTTCCAGGTAAGCTTTCAATCATCCAATGCCATGTCTTTGTAGTAGAACATACCTACTTTCATGTGGTATAAGCCTCTGGACTCGAATCTCATCCATGCTTCTGGAATGGAGCTCCAAAGTAGGCTTCTTGAACACAGTTTCTGCCTGAGCCAAATTATGGCAGTTTTCCAGTTTTGAGGTAGCAACTTTGAGGCTTTGGAAAACAACCTTAATGACTTCTTCTGGATCCAAAAATCATACCATTGGGTAGTTGGAAACTTGATCTTTGAAACAAGCCCTTGAAAGCCAATTTTCAGTGATCCAATTGTCAGAACTATGCCTCCAAAGTAGACATCTCAAAACTTTTCCACAACCAAATTCTCCCTTTCTTCTTCCCAACTTCGATAGCTTCTTTGTCAAGTAATTGTGACGTGAATGGTTGGCAATTTGGGATCATATCATATTAGAAGGTGTTTGTTAATTTAAGATAATAGAGGGGTACAAAATGCTATTAACCCTTTTTTCAAATGAAAATCATTCGGACTAGAATTTCTAGGCTAAATTTAGAGTAGTGGTTTGGATATGTTCATCTAGACCATTTTCCTAGTTACACAAAATCCTATTATCCAGGGACGGAGCCAGGAATATTATTTAGGGGGGGGGGGGATAATTAAGAGGTTTGACGATAACTGTTGAGATAAACTTATCGAATTTTTATGTTGATTGACTAGTCTCAACTTTAAGTAAACCACGTAAATCGTCATGTCACTCATTTTTCAAACAATCTTTCGGTATTTATTGTAAGAGCTAAATGATAAATGATAAATTTTGGTATCTAAATTTTATGAGATATTTATACCTATAGTTTTTAAAATTAAATATTGGTCCAATGTTTAGATTTCTTTTGAATCCATGAATTCAATCCACAAATCCTTTTGAATCAATCCATGAATCCAATCCACCATAACATAAAAGTATAAATTTAGTTTGTACAATACAAGATATTGTATAACTCAACCTTAGAAGAAGATTCGACCATTTTATATTTACTCATTACGTGAAACATTAAATAAATGATAAAAGAGAGACGACTCTAGAATATTACAAGAGCGAATTTATAAACTCATTCAATACATTACGGGTACTAAACAAACTTTTACTAACTACATGTAACAAAATATGTGACATCTTCAAAATCAAGTGTCAATAAATTGTTATGGTGAAAAAGGTTGATTGTTGTATTGACGGTCAACTAAAAGAATTGGTCAAAACCTTTCCATCATCTATTTCATCTTCGTTTCATTTTTCACTAGCCTTCCATAGATCATAACGATTTCTTTATTTCTTACTTTGCCTTCTTTGTCTAACCCTAATTAGTATACTATTTTTATGTATTCTAATCACAAGTATGAACGGGTTCATACACGACTCACCAACAGGCTAGAGAACTAACAATTGAACCATGAACCACTAACTTTATCAGCTCAATGTCGAGTCCAATTAAAAATAAATATATATGGTTATTACTTATTAGAAAATCGTTATTTTCCACTTTGGGTATGAGGGCGTGAAATTTAAGCGAGTTCCCGTTTGTATTCCTTTTGCTTCTCTCTAGAGTTTTTCTTTTTCTCCCGGGCTAGAATTTTCAACAATGATACATGGAATGTTTGGCTAAGTATCAAATAAATATTTTCCATTTTTCTACCAAAAAAGTAAATAATCATGATCTTAAATACATCACCATAAAAGGAATTAAGCCTCAACTATGCAAATTACAGTTTTGTACCTAAACTTAATATATCTTTAGATTTATAACCGAAATTTATTTGTGTGACATATAAGTCCTCAAAATATTGATTAAACAATACATTTTAGTACCTAAAATTTTTGTGTATTACATTTTGGTACCTAAACTTTTGAAGTTCTAAGGTCTAATATTTGTATGTGCAATTAAAACACCCTCGAATAAATGGGTATCCATACCCAACTCATACAAAATTAGATTATGCAAATAAATATACATACCCTACCCAAACCCATATATACGTCACACATACCCTACCCATAATAATCAATGGGTCTACTTGGGTTTTGGTAAATATCATTTACTAGCCAAAATTTTTAAAAATCTTTAAATTGGATGTTGACCGCCATATATATATATATATATATATATATATATATATATATATATATTCT